AAAAACGACACAAACCAAAGAGTCCTTACTGCGGTACCGCTGGTACTACATCACGACCATAATTGCCTGCCCCAACCAAGAAGTGCGAGATCGCATCTCCACCCATAAATATCAAAAATAAATACCTGAGTAAGAGGTTATAATGTTATTTCTTGTGTTTTATGATATTTCTTTATTTCTTATGGCCTATAGCTTGTTACGTGCAACCATGCAAGATCTCTGCTTTGATTTGCTGCCATTCTGTATCTGGTCGTGTGGATTATATTTTTCCTGTTAACCTCTTAATATATGCACCGGCTGAAGCAGCCCCTGAACACTTTATTTATTTCAGGTACAAATTGCAGTATTCGTCGCGACCTTCGAACAGTTCAACAATCTACCGTCAGCTCATTAGTTACATGTCGATACCAAACAAGATAAACCGAAGATGCCGACATTCGATTGCTTTAACGCTTCTTTTCGGTGATTATCATTTGTATTGAAACGACAGAACATCGAATGGTTGGTGATGGTCAACAGTTTAAGCGATTTTATGATCGTCGTGGACTCGACGAAGATATGCTGAAAATTTCCCCAGGTTCTGTGATTCTACTCGAACAGTTAGCCATCAATTCCTAACTGATTGCGATCGTTTTAAAGCAAATGCCTGGTTTTACGGCGTGTGATGTAGATGGTTGCGAAAGATTTGCAACTTAAAATTACAAATTTTTTATCTTTGTTTGCCTAAGCACGCATCTAGGAAAGCAAAGAAGGCAAAGCTGGATTTTTTTGGAACATTTAACAACAACGACAGAGGAACCCAATGAAGAATATACCCACTAACTAGAAACAAAAATAAGCTAGAAAATAAATCAAGGATCCATTGTTTGAACAACTGCAAAATTCTCTTGGTTTGCACACCAAGCGAAAAAACCTAGTAAAGATGCGGCCAATCATGCTAGCGAAACGTCGGGAACGATTTTCTATAGGCGGCGAACCGATTCAAATATGAGTAGAAAATGAATGCGAGGTAAAGAACACGCGAGAAAATAAAGGCCCTGACATAAATAAAAATTCACCAAAACTCTGAAAACGATAGTAATAATAACAACACGGGTAAAAATACATTATGAGACAAAGGTCAAACTAAAAAATATAGAATAAGAATGGTTTAAGCAATAAGCAAGCTTAGCAATTAGGACACAGACAATAATGGAATGTGAACATGGGAGTCTTTTAAAAGTCTGATGATGGTGGAGTGATCGAGAACCGAATAACAAGAAACAGGCGGTATGGTGGTAGCAGGCAACTAAACAAAAAAAACTTACTTACCATGAAATAATGATAGAAAACTTAAGAAAATCAGTGATGAAACGAGAAAGTTCAAGTCACTTGAAACAGAAGCAAAGAAAAGTACCCGGGTAGAGATTGAGGAGAACTAGCGTCAAGAAGAGAGTTTGACGTCAAGAATGTTGCGAAGTTAATATTAATTCATGGCTCTAAACCTACTTGGGCAAGAAATTAATGAAATTCTAGTTTTTTTCTAAATATTCTATTCCTGTTCAAACATTTTCCTCCTTTTGAGTCTGGTTTTGAGTATACCATGGAACTTTCAAACAAGTTTCTCTTGTACTTTTTTAGAGACAAGTGTTCAAGGGATGTGTTTAAAAATATTCCATAGATTTTGGACGTTTTTGCAATGTTTTGCTATTTCGATTTGCTGAATTTTATTTGAGGAGCACATTTTCAACACTCGCCTTTAACTATCACTCTTTCCTTTTTTCTGATAAAATCTTCGTCATGCATTTAAGGACTCATCTATTATTATTCGCATAAATATCTATACTTAACAGTAGACTGACTTATCTAGACGACACATTCGCTCTATAATGCTGAGCAGTTCGTTTGTATATGCAGGCTCTATCAGGGAATTGCTCTTCGAATACAAACAATCGAAATATGGAGAATTGTGTGAGTAAATATACAGGCGCGGCTCACATATTTGCAATAATGAAACTTTAATTAATTGGGGGGCGGATTGAAGGATGATGCGCCCAAATAGAGCACTAGTTGCCAAATCGTATGGAGCGAAGTGGTGATTTGCGAAATCATTAATTGTTAGGGGTGAAAATTGAGACTAGATTTAACTAAATCAAATGTGAATTTTGATGATTCGACTCTGATTCATAGGAGTTACTCCGGCTATTCTGAACAGAAGAAAAGTCATCATTCTGATGATTTCCATTAATCACAGGATGCAGACCAGAACACATTCCACATTCCTAAATATCTGGAACGCGTGCGGCGTTACACTCGCACTTATTTACATTCCCGCGTTGATAGATTTATCCGGTACGCGTATCGAAAATCAAAGTTATTGCCGACGTTTTCAAAATTAAATTGAACAAACCCCGTAAATTCGTACTAATGGTTAGTTTAACGCGAGAATTTATACAATCATATTGGCGGAATTACTTCAAGTGAATGGTTTATAATGACAGTGGCGCCGACTTTATCCACATAGTAAATAGAAGTACTAAAATGACGGTTAGAAGATTAACATCGACGTGAATTGGGAACCTTTTACAAACTTTCTAAATTTTTTGATGTTATATTTTGTGGTATTAAGTATTTGATGTAAACTTGTTCAATATAGTACATAAAAACTTTCAAAAAATGGTTTTCTATGGCTTATTTCTATGATTCTACTGTATTTATATATGTATATATATGTATGGAAGTGTGTATAACTTTCATTTTCTCAGAAGAATCAATTTCCTTGCAACAACAAAACACCGTGGACCTATTTAGAACAATCACATGGAACGCAGATTTTATGAATGTTCTACACTGCATTTTAAGTTTTGAAAAGAACAATTCAAGAACTAACCTCAATTATGCTGTGCTGTAACTGACCCTAGAAGATTTTTTAAGTTTGCTTGCTACAATTCCTGCCTTTCGCAAGTTTTTATCGGTGGTCGGCGTTGTCTCCTGAACAAACTGTCTGTCGCGATTTTTTCCAAAACTTGTCGATTATAATGGGAAGCAGATGCAAAGTTGGTGTTAATTCCATTAGATATAGAAAATGCTGGTCTATTCATGCGCCAACATGACAATTTTTTCCACAGTTTTTGGCAAGTTTTTTAATAGAAGGTCGGGGTTGTTGTCTACGAAGCAAATTATTTGTCGCCATTTTTCAAAAAAATTGTCTATTTTAAATGGAATGCGGTATAGTGTTAATGTTAATTGTGATAAATAGCGAACATTCTGTGCATTCGTGCGCCAACTGACAACATTATAGAATTATTTCTCAATTTTAGGCACATTTTTTAATTGGGGGTCGAGATTGTCGACTTCTGAACAAATACTCGCTTGCAATTTTTTCAAAATTTTTCTAATATAATTGGAAGAAATTTATTGTGATTTATTTTCCTGACTGCGTGTAATTTTCTCAGAAAGCAAATGTGATGTTTCAAGACAGCCAAGACCTAAAAAATCTGATGTTGCCAATTATGGGTTTATGTTGAACTTTATATCTGATGATGGCGCTGTTCGAAATAAACGATATAAAAATGTTTCTTTCACATTTTGACTGAAACCCAGGAAAGAAAAAATATATAATAACAATTGGAAGCAATACAAAGTTGATGTTAAGTGATTGATTGTTCACTCTATTAGATTTAGAAAATGTTGCTCTATTCGGGCTTCGATTGGCAAAATTGTCATTTTTATTGGTCGCGATTGTTTGAAAAATTTGTCAATTTTAATTAAAATCCGATACAGGGTTAATGTTAACTGTGTTAGATAGAGACAATAGTGTTTTATTCGAGAGTAAATATATAAAATTGTATATTCTTTCCTCAATTGTTGCCAAATTGTTTAAGTGGCGGTCGACGTTACGGTCTTCTGAACAAATTATCGGTCGCGATTTTTGCAAAAATTTGTGAATTATAACGGGAGGCAGACATTGCGTTGCTCGTAACTCTATTAGGTATAGAATATCTTGTTCTATCCGTGCTGCAATTGGCAAAATTGTAAGTATTTCTTGAATATTTTCGCAACATTTCAATTAGAGCTCGAGGTTGTCTACTGAGCAAACTGCCTGTTGCGATTTTTTCAAAAAATTGTTATTTATAATTGGAAGCAGATACAAGGTTGGCGTTGACTGTATTAGATATAGAAAATGTTGCTCAATTGGGACCTCAATTGGTAAAATTGTAATTTTTTTCCTGACTTTTCGGGTTTTTTTTTCAAATAGACGGTCGGGCTCTACTAAGCAGAAGATCTGTCGGGATTTTTTCAAAAATTTGTCAATTTTAACTGGAGTCAGATAGACAAGTAGTGTTAACTGTAATGGATGGCGAACAAATGTTGTTCTATTCGTGCATCGATTGAGGAAATTGATATTTTTTCCCTCAATTTGTGGCAATTTTTTTCACTGGGGCTCGCGGTTGTTTATTTGAAATTATTTGTCACATTTTTTTCAAATATTTGTTAGGAGTTTGAAAGCTGCTTTATTAGAGCGCCAAATTGTAAATTTTTCCTGAATTTTTTGCGATTTTTTTAAAGCTAAAGTCTAAGGATTAAAGCTTTAAAGCTTTTAAAGCTAAAGTCTTAAGGATTATTATCTGGACAGTTTATTAGACAAAATGACTGCATGATTTTTTTGAATGAAAAGGGAAACTACTCGTCTTATAAACACGACAATTGCCCGATTTGTCCCAAGTTTCCAGAATTATTGGGATTTTTAAATTCAAATCTTGGTATAGATCTCTACCAACAAAGTGCATGTATCATTTTTCTTTGAAAAATTCTTTTAAAAATGGCACAATTGCTAGATTTTTTTTGTTGAGTGAAGTGCTTTTCGAAAATTTGTAATCCTTCTCGGGGTTTGATTTTCAAAAGAGAAAACATTTAATCCGACTTAAAAACTTTTCAGTTTCATCATCTCACCTTATTTTCCATAAAACATGCAAACAGTATAAAACTTCTGCTAAAAATTTTCAGTTTAAATGATCGTTACTGAATACTCGTTCACCAGGTGCGCCACTGTAAAATTCAGTCGGCCTCAAAATAAATATCCATTCGGTTCTTGGTTTTGTTTTTGTCTGGTCGGTCTTATTTTGCAGGTCTTCGTGCCAAATTACTATTGATTTAAGATAATCACCGGGATTCTGAAATATTAACGGAATTAGTCGATGTGAAGTTAACTAATGAGATGCAGCTTTTTCATCGTATAAAATGTTACTTTATTTCCGAAACTCGGGGTAAACCGAAAAAATGTTGTTGATTAATCGATCAATTTTAGGCCCTATCTGATATCGGTGTTTTAAAAATTAGATATAGAATTCATTATTTTGGAAGACGAAATTAATGGCCTCCGAGAGCGCCCGACTTTGACTCTGCAGCTTTTTTAAAAACGAGATAATTATTACATTCAATTCCAATGGAATGTTTGCTGTTAGCTTAACATTTGTTTGATAAAAGGTAGTCTAGCATGGAAACCCATAATGCCAAGAGGATCCAGTGAAAACGATTAATAACCGAACCGAATGTTTGTCATTGGGATATTCCGATTCCGAAAGATCCAATTTGTCATGGAATGGATTAATTCGGCTGTCACCGCGGAATTTTGTCATTAATTCGCTCTTCGATCGATTTATCCGGACACTGGCCACCCAACGAGTTACTTGTAATGAATTAGGAACAACAAGGCCTATAAATTAGGCTTATCGCAATATCAATTGGGCGGAAGGTCATTTTTTACGCGATTAAACGCTGATGCTTGTCTTACCGATCTTAAACATGTTGCTCACGTAAATCAATTTTGCCAGAACATAATTACACGTTCTGCTAGATTGATGTTCTTTATTGAGTGTCAACATTTCTGCATGCAAAAGGTATTTTTTAGCAACTTGTGCAGCGGAGGTTTGGAAACCTATTTGGTAAAACTTTTGCCTTCGTCGCCACTCTGCATACGCCTGCATCCTTGCAGGAACCCCAGAAGTGTGAATTTGCCGGCTGTGGGAATTATTATGGCCAGAATCAATCTTGAAACTGGGATTCACACTTTTGGGGTTCCTGCACATTTAGTCAGTGCCACTTTTATTTTCGAAATAAATGGCGAAATGTCAAACGCTTTTTGAAACATTGGGAGCATTTGGGTGCATAATTTAAAGACAATTATAAGCAGAAGAAAGGGAAGGTTTAATTTCGATAATTTATCAAGTAGGGCGTTAGGCAGGCAGGTAAGTGCAAAATTTAAGGTGTTTTTACACTGGTTCAGTCCAGGCAGTAATCGTCCAAAACCCCTTGTTCGAGAACAGATTGGCGTTCAATTAAAGGTGTGAAGGTGCAAAGGTGTGAAGGTGTGACACTTTCAACAGCACCGCTTAACAATCTTAGTTCGGGTTAATTAGGATTAAATCTTAAATATTTAATAATTTTCGATTGGTTCTCGAAGAAATCATTCAAGAATACAAAAATAATTTAAGTACGATTATACTCTGCACTTGTTAGAAGGTTTTAACGTTTCAGCCACCCTCGTAGATATGAAACTTCGGTATCGAAAAGCGTATTTCGTAAATAAGCTCATAGCCCAAAGAAAATAATTTGTAGCGGGTTTTGCTGCCTATATTAATACTTGGCAGAAGTTTAGTCATGCATAGAGTGAAGTTTTAACGATTATATGGAAAATAATAATACTTCTTATACGATGAGAGACGTGGAAGACGGGCTCCGCTTCGTACCAAAGATGGCGGACGGCTTTTAGTTAATTAATTAATTAAAAGCAAATGTAAAGGAAAAATTCGTAATTAATTAGAGGGATTTTCCTCAGCGTCGTCTACTCAACGCGAACTTAAAAGGAGTTGAGATTTCCCGCGTAGATCGGTTGTGCTGAATAGTTTCCATTCAATCGGACATTGGCATGAATCTTCAATTTTTAAAGAAATTATTACATGGTTTGGTAAGAATGTGTAAGTGTTTATAAAGCTCACTTCCGAATGGGTTAAAGTCTAAAATATTTGTTAGAGTTAGTAGGTGAGTGCTTGAGAAAACACTCAAGACAACATAACGAAAGTCCACAATTCAAAGACATTTTATATTCATTATCAGGGTGGTCCTTAACGAATTTGACAAAATCCGCTGGCATAATCGGGTTTTAAGAAATAGTTCTTTTGTCAGCAAAATCCCTTTCTCCGAAATTTCCTGAACAAAAAATGTGTAGTTGGTTCAGATCGATACCTATATCTCATCGTTTTCGAGATATTTCACATTGAACCTTCTAGTGGTTTTTTGAACTGAGAAACTCAAATTCGATCTGTTAATAACAATTTTAAAGTTATAACAATAAAATTTCAATAAAACAAACTAAATAAACATTAAACAGTATTTGTTCATCCACCTTAAAAACCACTTTAAACTACTTTTCAAATTCAGTAAAGTCATAGAAAATTATTATTTTATAACAATTGATCAACCTGAACTCATCTTGACTTAAATACATATTTTAGTAGAAAAACATAGATTGTTTTTACGGAAGTCTTCTGGTGTATTTGAAAATGTCTTGAAAATCCATTTCTTCACTCGAAAATAAGTTAGGTTGAGGCAATTTTTTCTAAAATATTTCTTTTAGCAATTAACTGAAACCCAAGTGACAGTGGAATATATTTTGTCCACGGCACATTTAAAATTTTCAAAGTACGACACGATTAGGGATCCAGTTTGAGTTAGTTCGAAAAATCACTACTTTCAACGTGAAATAATTCGAGAACGGTGAATAACTCGAGAACTTATTTCTGTGATAAGGCTAAGAAACACGAGATACTTTCAAATCCAAAAAAATATGCTGTTTTAAATGGTTAAGAACTACAAGCTAAGTAATAGGAAATCTGGATTACCACGATTTTTAACTACCATTATTTACCTCGAAAATTATTAACTTTCTAGTAAGACAAATTATCAAATTACTTATTTTTATGACTAATAAAAACTAAGCAAAAAAAAACAGGTTGGGGTGATGTTTACACCCGAGCTTTTTTAAAACGTTTCAATGTTTATCGACTATCCTCAGTTAATCTTGATAAATTTTTGGATAAGGGCAAAATTCTTGCCTCTTCTTAGAAAGTTTTCATGTTTTTTTTGCCAGTATTCACACACTAATTTTTTGTATATTTTCTTTAGGATGTATGGAGACGCTTGGATGGACAGCATTATAGATCAAGTGGATGAGTGTAACATAAAGAAAACATACAGAAAAATTTAACGCAAAACTGCCAGAGGAAAAAAAGCAGAAAAACTTTATAATCAAATGCCATAATTTTGCCCTTATCCTAAAATGTACACACATGAACTGAGGAGATGGAAAAGCACAGAAACGTTTTAAAATTGCAGCACTAATTTGTAAATGTAGTACAAAATGACTGAAACCCAGGTATGAATTAACTTTGGAATAAATTAACCGGAAAACTTACATGATGGATGGAGATGCTTGAGCGAACAGGATTATGGAGTAAGTGGAGCAGTGCAACCTAAAAAAAAAATACAAGAAAAAGTTTGCAAAAACTGGCAAAGAAAAAAATACCAGACACAAAAATCTCGCCCTTATCCCAAAATGTATACATATTGACTGAGGATAGTGGCAAACAATTAAAGGTTTTAAGAGTGAAGATAACAAAATTGAAGAACTAATAAACGACTGAAACCCAGAAAAACGTTATAACTTAACTTTCGAAATAAAACCACGAAAACTTACATGATTAGGGATAAAGATCTTAAATCGAAAAACCCTTCAGTATTAAAACGCAAATCTATTCGAGTCGATGACCGAAAATCAGCTGGTGCCAGGTCTGGAAAATTGGTCGGATTTTCAATTTAAACAATTCCTTCATCATTCTCGCCCTCAATGTGAAAGCAAATTCCAGTATTGTCACTTCTTGTGGTAAGAGCTCTCCTGAACCATGCAGCGTCTTTGTCGCTCAACCGCAAAAGACAAATGGACACCGTTTTAATCTCGACATTACGACAAGAAAAATTGACAGTCGTACATGTCATATTATCGATTAAAATGACCACACAGGTAGACATTCGAATTAATAATAAGATTAGCGGCGGATATCTTGTGCATACTTATCGCGTGGGTGGCGAACTTTAGCTGAACGATAGTGTCCTCTTATTGTCCTGCCAATTTCTAAAGTGTTTCTGGTATAAATGGCTCATATTTTTTTCAGTTCAGTCAATTAATTTATTTTTTGATAGCATTTGTTGAACTGTACAAAATCTAATCCATATTTCATATCAGGAAGCGATCGAGAGCCAGCAGCATTATTTGCTCATTAGGGCATATTCTGGACGCCACTCAAATTTTTCAGCAAATAAACTTTCGTATTTTCCTAATTCTTCCCATCACCCCAATCACATGTTATGCTATAAAATTCGATCTAATAATGTTGATTCAAACCTCTATGAAAAATATGATGATTATTATGAATTGATATTGTGCAAAATCCATGTTTCCGATATATTTCTGCTGTTAATCCTGTGAAGAAATAATGGCCTTGCAATTTGGCGCTTTTATCGAATTTTGTTGTTCTTTTTAGTTAAAACCTCCATCCATATACCACTGCTCAATGGAAAGCGGCCAAGTCCTGAAATTAATCTTCGACACAGCACCCAGCTGGTTTGAGCATCTTTTCTTTAACAAACTAAACTTATAAATTTCCCTTTGACACGTAAATAATTGCGGCCGTTCTTGAAATTATATTAATACTATCAGTAGTTTTGATTTATGGGGGCACCCCATCGGGAAACGCTCAGTAGGTGGTAAACCACTGGTCTACGCCCCTGTATTCGACCCGGGTGATTGATCGTATTGATCGGATTAAAAACAACAAAACCAGTTCGGTTTTCGTATGGGTAAATGGACGTGAAAGGGACAAACGAGCTATTTTTTAGGTAAAATACTTTCTATTGGGGATATTTTCTATTCACGTTCGAAGCAAAGCAACAGCGTTAAATGAGTGTGAAACTTTGCCAGATTCCCTGGTACATGCGAGACATGATGCGAACCAGAAGGAGAAGGGAACAAGTGCGAAAAGGGACTTCTTAATCCTTTTACCGAACCGTCTTAGGGAACAAAACATGCAAGATTTTGAGGCGCGCATCAAAAACAAACATCGTCGGGAGCTAATTACAATCAATCAAGATGGCGGTTAATAAAGGGAGCCTGCTGATAAATCCTGATACTTTGGAAATTTTGTTAATATCTGGGATGAAGCCAGTGGCGGAGGACCATTGCAAAGTTCTAATTGGCCAGTTGAATCAATGCACACTGAACTTCTCCTGGGTTTTATTTGGAGAAAAACCCACAAAAAACGAATCAAAGCAACGAGCAAATTCGTATCGACACTAGCCTGCAGGCCGCAGTGAATTTTTAATATAAAACAGACAATGGTGTTGCAAAAAGAAAATTAACGAAGGATTAAAAAATCATTTAGATCATCATTTAAAAAGTCGAAGGAAGCAAGACCATTGTCATAATAAAAATCAGACATCGAAAAAAAGAGCAAAAATAAATAAAACAGGAGACTCGAGTCAACGAACAACCAAAATACACAGTGAGTAATAAAAGTACAGGCTAAATTTAGTCAAAATTTTCATTTTTTCAAAAAATCGACCTCCACCCTTTGAAAAATTTCGACTAAACATTTAAATTTTACAAGCGTGTTTTTTGAGCCAAATCGATTCCTTTCGACGTAAGAAAGTCACAAATGCATTTATAAAGTGTTTGGGTCAAAAATAAGGATGAAATCGTCAGCTAAAGATCGTAAACGCTCAAAAAAACGCCTAAAATGTGCCGATAATGTCTGTTAACTCGGATCTGAAAGTTCTAGCATATTTTTCAACGAGTTCGGTGCATTCCTCGCGTCCCTGAGCTGAAAATGGTGTAAAAGTTAAGACATTTTGAGAACATTTTCATTTGGTCAAAAAATTGAACCTCCACTCTTGGAAAAATTTCGACCAAAAATCGAAATTTCACATGCGTCTTTTTTTAGCTCAATCAATTCCTTTCGGCGTAAGAAGGTCACAAATGCATTTATAAAGTGTTTGGGTCAATAAGAAGGAAGAAATCATCGGCTAAATATCGTGAACGCTCAAAAACACTTAAAATGTGCCAAAAATGTCTGTTAATTCGCATCTGAAATTTCTTGCATGTTTTTCAGCGAGTTCAATGCATTCATTGCGTCCGTGCCCGTTCCAAACAACAAATTTTCGTTTCTCAAAAAATCAACATCCACCCTCAGAAAAATTTCTACCAAAAATCAAAATTTCACATGCGTCTTATTTGATCTCAATCAATTAAAAACGAGGCTTCGACGCGTCAATTTTTATTTGCAAATGCTATTTTTTTGACACTAAATTTATTTATGAGTGATTTAAAAATGTCTCACTACCATCAGTTTACAATTTTCTTGATTTTTCAAAATTGACCGTTCTGAGCGCAATTTTTCCAAAAAACAGTGCGCTGAATTTGAAATAGATTTAGACATAACTTCTGGCACTTACTGCATAAGAAACATTTAAACTACATCTATAGAACGAGAATTACTTGTCTTCCGCTAAAATCATAGCTGATTAAGGAAAAAACTGAAATAATCAAATCAAAGCTAATCGATGTAGAACATCTAACTGAAGAGCAAGTTCACTCTTCGCGTTATCGTTCAAAAGCATGCTATTAAGCTGGCAACAGATGAAACAACAAATATCTAAAAAATTGAAGAAATAAATGGGGAAACAAACCAATAAAACGGGAAACGAGACAACTAAGAAACAACTCGATGCTACTTCAATGCATCTTATGTAAAAAAGCAACAGAACCGAGCGAAGACAGTATGAATGTAAAAGCTTGAGGAGCAAAAACACATTCGGTTGAAACAAAGTCATTAACAAGGAGCTAACTGAAGAATATAAAGCTTCTGAAAATAGGCCTCACTCTGCTGCACGCTTCCCTTGATTCTGAATGTTTGGGCCCATTCTCAACAGATTTTTTTTTTAATTGACTCACAAGAAGAGCATACGCTTTTCGTCCCTATATGTACGACACTGGCTTTTAAATAACCAACCACCCGATATCTCCCCGAACTTTTTGACAGCTAGTAATTAAGATTGATGTTTTCTAAGATCGGCAAAGCACGGTGTGTAGCCGCGGCGGTTATGAATATCAGAGATGATTGAAGTTTTATTGTTTTTTACCTCGGAAAGTTTTGGCAGCCGTAATTGCCGCGTGTGGAAAGGGTTTAGTTCCCTTGGGAGGTGACAATCTCAAGTTTGCAATCAATGAATATATTTTTGTTTCCAAATTTGCTCATACAAGCTAAGAACATGCGAAGGATCACTGGAAACTTTTATACTTTTCTATGTCAATGTTGGGTGTGTGTGTTCATTGCTAAAAGAAAAGCACATTTAGAGAGTGTAGGATTTCAATGTCTCTATAAATGGAAGTAAATGAAGCAATTAACTGAGAACTTAAACAAATTGAAACAATAATTTAAAGGCGAAACGTTCTTGTGAACACAAGAGGTGCTGCTGAGAGAAAACGTTGCAACTAACTGAGACCTCCAGGTCCTTTCTGAAAAAGCCACAATATGAGAAGCGGAAAAATACTAGTATTGACCTACCAGCTTTTTCACTTGCGCTTTGAAAAACATCGAATAATAATATCAAAAATGAGAATGAAATTATATGGCATAAAAAGAACCTCAATGGAACTGAAACTAGAACCTTTTACACTGAACTATTTGGTCGAGTATTTTACCAAACGGAAAACAAACCCCGTTTAAACAACGCCCCATTAACAAAGAAGTAAAAAACGGATTTCCGAAGGATTCAGCCGCACCCTATGCGGATTGAACAATTCGATGCACAAACCTGATGAGTGACCGTTGATAAGTGAAAAAACTAGTTCAATGACTACTGTTTAAGACACTGAAGGGCGATATCAAAGAAACGATGCCCCTTTGCCAAAGGGTTGAAAGGGAGGATTCGTTTTTATGGACATACATTTTAATCCAATGCGCTTTTTTCTTTCCCATGATCAAATCAATCGAGTTAACGGTCGAGGCAGTTTGACCGGGCTTAAATATCAATTTAAACCAAATGGGAAATTTTACACACCTGCAACTTGCAGCAACTTGCGTTGTGTTTCCGTTTACTTGCCAATTTTTTGCTTCTCTTTCTGTTAGTTCGTTTTTATTGCGTCTTCAGTCCGTTGTAACACCCAATTTAATAAATTATCAAATTAATTCCTCTGTTTTTGGTTCATCCGTTCATTCATCACGTTTTGTTGAAACAAACCAGCCATGGAGAATGCGAAACCGATGGAAGGAAATAAAAAAATACTAATTCATAAAGAGCACTAAAAAACAAAGGAGAACTACCAGGTTTATAAAGTTAAATAGTGAAAGTTTCATTGCAATTTGAGGCTCTGGAAAATGAACCAACATTGGAATAAGAAAACCGACATTGTCTGCACTTTATGCAGCAGTTTTATTATTTCTTCTGAAAGCAAATTCCTACACAAGAAATCAGTGAAAAGCAGATTGAATCGAAATTCAAAACCATCCGAGACGATTTTAATTAGAAACAGCCATGTGGTGGTCGACATTCAAATCTATTCCTGCCAGTCACTTCTAGCCGGGATGACGAATATTAATAAACATAGTACAATAAATAACAGGGGGCAGAAGGGCGGCTAGAGGAAATCGGGGAGCGGGAAAAGTCCCTTGTCCTTCATTGGGACACGCACCGCGTCTTTACTAATCATTA